ACCTGCTACACACGAAATGGAATTTGCTGAGCCCAAACAACCTGCAAATGCTTATCTTTGGCGAGGACGGAGATGGGCTTTGTCAAGACTGAGCGGCTTGAGTGGGAGACACCAGAGGATGTTGCCTTATTTGACAAGTTCATGCGAGATGTGGAGTACAACCCAGAGGAGGTCAAGAGAAGGTCTGCAAAGTGGTTTAAATCTCGCAGCCGCAGATCGAAGGCAACTAAATTTGACATCCCACCACTGGTGCAGGAGACCACGGATGATGGCACATGGCTTATTTATCTTTCATGCTGCCCTCAGCATGAGGACTCTGGGAAGACTGGTGTTGCAAACATCGAGGAGAAGGAGAGTGAGGACGATTAGGAATTACTTGGAGTGCAGCTTGTGGATAGGCAGCGGACCAGGCAATTGGGTGATGCCTCTTCTTCCTCTCCACGTGACATCGTTGCAGCGTTAGAGGTCCTTGCGTTTGGAGGGAGTTCGGCAGCCGCGTGCCTTTTTGTCCGCCCCTTGTGACAGGCCTGCAACGTCAGACATTCTTGCCACCGGAGGGACTTCCACAGCAGGTGGTGCTGCTTCACCATGAGCGACTTGCTAACTTCTGGGCGCACAGCTTGCCCCTAATCAGAGGGAGTGGCACGGCTCCTGGGGGATCAGCAGACATTGTCGTGGACAGTACAGCAGTGGAGGGCAATACCATTGTTGGTGTGTGGGGGGGACAATCCGGTTGCTGAGGCGGCAGATGAGGATGCACGCCGGGACAACCCGGTCGCTTAGGTTGGGGAGGCCACTACGGCTGAGGGTGCTGATGAGGAGGCTGTTTATGCAGCATTGTTATCCACCGTCTTCCCCCGAACATAACGCATATGTGATGTAAATGAATACAACGCATACTGTGTGTTGTATTCGTTTACAACGCATGCGTTATGTTTGAGTGAACGAGACCAACTTTGCCTGCACAAGGGGGTCGGGTCCAGGCTGAGTAGGCTCAATTCTGGACCACGGCTGGGGGCCTCAGAGCCTTGGCAAAAAGGTAAAAGTAAAGTAATGACGTACCTTTCCATGTTCTGGGTTGAGTTTCATTCCTTTCCCCTACTTGGGCCCTTGCTCCAGTCAGCAAATTTGTAAAATGTGAATGAATCTTCCGCTAGAACGTGGACAAATACAACCCCTTTCTTTTTTGTCTCGGTGACCACGGTAGTGCATCGAGACCTTGGTGGGTGGCTTTTTTATTTTTCCACTTTCTTGGCTGTGCCACTTTCTTGGCCGCGCCACATTCTTGGCTGTCAGAAGCGCCTTCGCGCACGGAGAGAGAGAGAGAGAGAGAGAGAGAGAGAGAGAGAGAGAGAGAGAGAGAGAGAGAGAGAGAGAGAGAGAGAGAAGCTTGTCAGTGACAGGGAGGGCAGTTTCTTGCAGAGAGAGAGAGAGAGAGAGAGAGAGAGAGAGAGCATGGACAATGATCTG